GAAGAGCAAACTCACCATGCTGGATCCGTTCCTCGATCGAGACGGCATCATCAGAGTAGGAGGACGTTTGAAGCATGCTAGCATCCCTTTCGCACAGCAGCATCCAGTGGTACTTCCACGCTCTCATCATGTGACGTCTCTCATCATTCGAGACGATCACGTACGCAACCTGCATGCCGGAATTCAAGCCACACTCTACAGCGTCAGACAACGCTACTGGCCCATCGATGGTCGGAATCAGACAAGAAGAGTCATCCGGCAGTGCATCAAATGTTTTCGGGCCAATCCGCCCTCGACTGAATATATCATGGGCAATCTTCCGAAGGCTCGAGTCAACGAAGCTCGACCATTCAGCAACGTAGGCGTCGACTATTGTGGTCCATTCTACATCAAGGAGAAAAAACTTCGAAATCGGAATAAAATCAAGGCCTACGTTGCAGTCTTTATCTGTCTCACTGTCAAGGCAGTTCATCTTGAATTAGTCAGCGATCTGACCACTGACGCGTTCGTCGCAGCCCTACGAAGATTCATCGGTCGCCGAGGAAAACCACAAACCATCAGTTCCGACAACGGTACCAACTTCGTAGGGGCAAATAATCATCTGGAGGATCTGCAACGCCTAATCAACTCGCAGGAGCATCAACAGAAGATCAACTCCTACCTAACCAACGAAGGAATCAAATGGAGCTTCATTCCACCACGGTCGCCACACTTCGGAGGCTTATGGGAAGCAGCGGTGAAATCCTTCAAACATCATTTAAGGCGAGTTGTAGGAAATGAATTATTAACATTCGAGGCGTTCAATACCCTTCTTATCGAGATCGAAGCCATTTTGAATTCAAGGCCTCTCACCCCCATGTCAATTGATCCGAGTGACCTTAACGCCTTACGCCTTAACGCCAGGCCATTTCTTGATTGGCAGTGCATTAACCACACTTCCGGAGATTGATTTCAGGGAAACACCATCCAACCGGCTCTCAGTTTGGCAGCATCTGCTGAAAATCAAACGAGATTTCTGGACAAGATGGTCCAAGGAATACCTGAATGAACTCAACATCCGGCATAAATGGACCAGCGGCAACCATGGAATCGGAGAAGGAACCCTCGTCGTCATCAAGGAAGACAACGTTCCTCCCATGCACTGGGCTCTAGGCAGAGTCTCCACCGTCCACCCTGGCTCCGACTGCATCATCAGGACCATTAAACGAAATGTCCAACGCTTAGCACCGTTACCAGTAGACGTATGTAAAAGCGGAGATAATTGTGGTTGATCGGTATCCTCTCAACGGGGGGAGTATGTTCCGTCCATCCGACGGAATATACATGCTATTATATTTTTCACCAGTAGACGTATGTATGTAAAAGCGGAGATAATTGTGGTTGATCGGTATCCTCTCAACGGGGGGAGTATGTTCCGTCCATCCGACGGAATATATTATACATGCTATTATATTTCTCTGCTTCTTCAGATTGCCAAATTTTTCCTTTTCTCCTAATGAGAACATTGTTCGACCGCTTAACGGTCAAGACATTCAAGCATTG